CACAAATACACACGTCCTGAGTTTTTTACAGACGCCTCCAAGTCTAACTCCTCTGTGTCCTACGCTGCTGTTGGCCCATCCTTTTCGGATGCTGGCCCTCTACATCCAGGCACAAGTATCTTCATAGAGGAAGCTCACGCGATATTTGTGGCGGCTAAACACACCAAACAATTACAAATACAAAAAGTGGTAATTTATACGGACTCCCTCAGTGTGGTAACGGCTCTGCAAACCCTTAAAAAAACAAAAAACCCTGTCCTCGTCTCACTTTACTCCATTTTGTGCACACTCTACACACTCAGACAACATGTTGTAGTGTGCTGGGTGCCAGGGCACCGTGAGATCCAAGGCAACGTGATGGCGGATCAGCTTGCTGCATCCGTCCACGAAAGCACTGCCACTACACCCATATCAATCCCGGCCCTTGATCTTAAGTCGTCTCTCAAACGAAAGCTTAGGGACTACTGGCAGAGCAAGTGGGATAGACACACACAAAACAAACTACACATTATTAAGCCACACCTTGGCCATTGGCTGCCAGTATCAAAATCGCGTCATACAGAGGTAATACTAACGAGGCTCAGGATAGCACACACATACACGACACACACATATCTTTTGTCCGGTGGCGATTCACCATTGTGTGACAGATGTGGTGAAGCACTAACAGTTTTTCACATTTTAATCCAGTGCAAACAGGTAGAAACTCTAAGAAAACAACACTTTCCATTACCCTACCGACATTATATATCTTTACACCCTGCAATGTTCGTCGGTAGGAAACCACTTTTTAGTCATAAATCATTGTTAGCGTTTTTAAAAGAAATTCGATGTTTTCATATCCTATACCCGGGCATTCTGTAGCACGTCTTCTCCAGAGAGGTTTTCGCTGCGGTGGCTACACTCAGCAAAAGCACTTGCCTCACGGCCCTTGGACGCAAGGGTATGAACAAGTGAGGCACTTGTGCTAATGCCATACATGTCCACCATCGTTTTTTATTATCACCAACTTTTGTCATCTATTCACACCACACACACCTTTCACGGCATGGTCATGATTTTATTACTTGTATGTTTTTACCCGCCTTACCGCGAGAAATTTTATGGCCCTTATACAGCCGCTTATCACAATCATTGTCCATATCTTTAGTAAGATGAACTAGGCATTCTTTGGCTGTGAAATGGCCCTTGCGCCACAAAACATGAAACATCATCATCATGCATAGTAGGTAAGGAATGACAGTCCACCGAAAGCTTGTCGAAAGGTCGAGGGTTTAGGAAACATGAGGTCGGGTATTGTCGTGAAACAGCATTACACAAACTGTCAATCATCCTCCCCAGTGGTTCTGGATAGCCTGCCTTAGTTTTCTTAGTGTTAGACAATAACTGAGTTGATTGTTGTCCCAGGTTTGAGGAAATCGATCAGCACTATCCTTTTACACCCTCAAAGCACACTGGCGATGACCTTGCCAGCAGGAGTTAGTGTGAACTTCTTTGGGACTAGTGACCCAGGAAGATGCCATTGTGTTTCATTTCAGTAGTGAAATGAAACAGCTATGTTTGTTTTCTCCTGTAACAATAGAGTCCAGCAATGCTTTATTTTTTGACACTGTCAAAGGAACTGGCATGCATGAGCAAAGCATTTCTTTTTCTTTTATACTGTCAACAAATGCGGTACCCATAAAACACAACACCTGTAATTCTCCAATTTTATCGATTAGCGCTAAGCTCCCTGCTCCACATTTGGACATGTTGAATGGACATAGCTTGTAGCCGTACACCTCTGTACGCCGACAATGAGTATCCATGTGTCAAGTCCCCTTGGTGTGTAAAAACCGAATTACGAACTCAATGTCCCACTTAGCGGGAGCAACAATGGCACTTTCATCTCGAATGGCTGCTGAGCCAAGATCAAACGGCGCAGCGTAGCGCTGTCGGGCGAATTTAAAAGTGGGGGAACAGCTGCACATTGTGGTGATGCTTGATTTCGCCTCGCACCTTCTCGTGTGGCTGGAGCTCTTTGGGAATATTGTTTCTGAATTGACATTGGCACATGTACATGCATCATGACCCTGAGCACACGCCATGAAACGTGATTACTCACCCTTGTTGCAATTCTTTTGTGGGCTACTGCTACTACTGTGTAATTTCCGCACGCCATGGAAGGTGACGTTGGCACATGGCAACACCTTTAAAAAGAAGCGCACCTATCTAAAGGCAACTCCTGCATTATGTCGGTTATCAGCCAGTAGCAGAAATCTACTGTTGGGTAATATGCAGCTGGTGCCCTGTCCACGGAAGTGAGTTAGGATGGGGTATCTGTACAAGGAGAGGACACTTGAAAAGTGGTAACTTAGCACTCCTCTTTTTGAAATTTATGTGCACAACTACATAATTTTACTGAACTGTTCATAGCAGTGTGTGCTTTTCTGTAGAGGGTTTTTTGACTGTCTGTAATGAAGTGCAGAGTACGATGGAAGTCTGTCTGGTTGGGAAAATTCATGATGGGAAATAGTAAGCACCAACCAGTCGTTGAAATAAAAACAGAAATGAAGTTTCGGCCTTACTATGGAGGCTTTGTTTACCTACGGAAAGAAGGAGTTTTAAGAGCTCATTTTTGATGCGGAGCATCTCATGCTCGTAGGTGTGTCACATGTCCATCGTCCCCACTCACACTATTCATGCGCAACTCTCCTTCCCTCTTTCCAACAGCTGCACATCACTCTCTCCACTTCTCTCCTACCACTTGCTTGCGCTCGCTCCCACACTGCTGCATGCGCGTCCTGCAAAGGTTTCGAGGTCGATGGCAGGAACAGCGGGCTTCTTTAAGGTAGCTGGCTTCCCACCGTCGTCCGCATAGCCGATCTTCGCCAGTGAGGAGACACATTAAGAGAGGTAGAACAAAGGTTCATTTACATTATAGAAAAAAGATAGGAACTGTACAGGGATCCTGAAGATCCCACAATATGTACAGCAGAGATTAAGTTCATGATTCAGCTCATGATTCCGCACATGATTCACAAAACGCTTCAGCTTTTATAGCCCACCGTCTCCTTTACACAGAAATCCAAAGAAGGCGGCGGTAAGCACTCTCGCCACAAATCAGGTGACGAAGTCTCAATGGTCCAATGGGAGCACTAGCGAAGCACACAATGATGCACCCGGCCCTCGTCTTTAAGGCGCTGCAGGGCGATGAGGTAGAGTCCGGAGAGGGAAGGTTGAGCTCCTCCGGGAGATGGTTGTTAACCCGAACGTCAGCAGTCGGTCCATGCTGCTTTCAGCTTCAGGCAGTCCAAACGCTCTATCCTGTGGACGGCTTCTTCAAAGTCTTCCCATGCTTCAGGACTGACGGTGCTTTTGTGACGATTTCGCCTCGGCGGCTACAATAGCTGAGTCAAGAGGTTGTCTTAATGAGACCAGCCACAGTGGCGCCGTCCCACGCTGTTCGAGCCCGTTCAACAAAAGGCTCGTCTCGCGAAGCTTTCGTTGAGACCCGACTGCTTCCTGGAACATCTACAGGACAGCGTCTTGCAAACTGGGCGCCGATGGGGTTAAAAGACTTTTAGCAGACAGCCTTACGCACAATGGCATCTGCCCAGACGAATTGCCGGGCCAAACGTAACAGTACCTTCCCCTCCTCTCCTGCGCTCCTCCTCTCCATCCTCGCAACGCCGATGCTGGGAGCGTCTACTAACTTATGCTCGCTCCCCCTCTCATCTAGGCATTCCTCCCTGCGGCGTCTCGCAAAGCCAACGCAAGCAGAGTGTGCTAGCGAGTTTCCTAACTGAAAAAATCGACTGCTCGTGCTGCACAATTACAGGTGCTCCGCATCACTCCATAGTTCTGTTGGGGAAAGCGGTTGTAATTTTATTGCCTTTGTTAGACACAGTAATAATGAGAACTAACAAACAATGATTCCACGGAATGTATAGGGGATGTTATTCGTAGCAATTGTGATATAGATGTGAAGAAAGTAAAGTGTACGAAAAGACTTTCTGTCCAGCAGGTATCGAGCCTGCAGCCTTCAAATTGCGCTTACTCATGCTATGTCATTTGAGCTACAGCGGTGGGCAGCGTCCTGTCCACTTTATTGGGTATATCTCTGCATGTAAACCTGGGTGTGTTTGTTAGCGACTGCAGCTATGGTGGCAAATGTAGAATTCTCTTTTTTTCTGCCTGCTGGCATCATGTAGCACATGCCATAAAGTTTTCTATAAATACTCTAGAGAGAACTCTGGCTCTGGTGTCTATGTGAGCTGCAATGCACGTCACTTTAGTGAGGATGGGAATGATGGGTAGTACAGCAAATTTGTCTAATCTTCATACTTTTAGCTACATTTCGCTTTGCGTGGCTTGGAGCTGCTTTGTCATGTAATGACGATCGACAAATGTTCTGCAGTTGCTCTTCACCACCATAATCTTTTAGGCTCACCAATTCTATTCTGGTCACGAAGCCCACAATTGTGCATATTATTCGAAATAAAACCTGAAACACAGCCATGAACAAAGCCAGAAGTGCATTCGAAGCCAGCAAGCATGAAGATTAGGCAAATTTGTGTACTACCCATAATTCCCATTGTCACTAAACGAACACAGTGCCAGAGTCCCCCCCCTAGTTAACTGTACTGAAACTCTATGGCATGCCCTTTTTTATGAGCTGGCAGCTGACCAATAATTCCTTGCATACTGTACCTCGAGGCATGAAGTCTGCCAACGCGGGACCCTCGCTATGAGTAAACCAAAGAAGGTTAATTTCAAGGGCTATTTTTTTAAAGAATTATTTTGTTAGATAGGTCATTACATAAAATTAATAGAGTTTTATCATTTATATCATAATTACTAGAACTAACATCTCCTATAGTTTCCTTGACATTATTGTTTATTAGTTCTCATTAACACTTCGAAAAGCAGTACGTTTTATTTCTTTTGTCACTATGTTTCTATCATGTCATAGGGCTATGAATATTTATCTAAATGCAGTGTTTCTTCTCTATTTGCAGCTGTTGAAAAGAGAATATGGTCCCTTGCTAACAACAACTGAGGATGGTATGTGCTGCTGATGCTGCTTCCACACGGGTTTTCTCAGTTTCAGACCTCAACGCGATACATGTGTATCTCATGTAATACTTTCCATTGTGTTTTGTACGGCTCGCTATGCTCTCCTCTGCTTCAGTACGCACATGAAACTGTGTATGACACTCCTGAATTTTGCAGTAATATATTTTAAATGCAGATCATCAAAAGGAACAGAGTCCTTTCAGACTCAATCCTGTCAGAACCAGACGCTGCCATACATTCATTAATACACTAGGCAGGCTCTTATTGCAGTAAAACTGATAGCTGGGAAGTTGGTATGTATCTATATTAACTATATTTAGCACGCATGAAACACAGGGACAAGAAAGAGACAGACGAGTGTGTGTCTGTTTTTTTCGAGCACTTGTCTGACGGACAAGCACTCGTCTGCGTCAGTACGCATTCTGTGTAATACTTAAAATTTGGCACATACGTAATAAACATTGCACTCGTCTGTCTCTTTCTTGTGCCTGTGTTCTGTGCGCACTGAAGAAAAGTTCAAAGAACAGGCAGGCTCATTCATACCCACGATCTTTTAGGGCTGTGGTCACTGAGGCTCTTTGAGTCGCATCATCAACTCACTGATGAAATGCCAGTGGGTTAGCTTGTGGAATAATGATGCATTATCAAGGTTATTGCCTTAGGTTTAAATCTGTAGAGCAAAGGACAAAGTACTATTGTGAGTACTGTGAGAGGGAACACGCGAGCGTGTGGCAGGTAGCTTCAAGCTTCAATTCAATTGCTCTTGGATGACGCTTTTAAAATATAGAAGGCACAACACTTTTTTTCCTTGCACTTTTGTTACTTCCACTTTGCGTCTGCTTTTGCTAAGCATGGAAGGTATGATACAGACAGCTTGAAATAGCAGCTCCTATTGTGTACTGACTGCCGCATGTACACACAGAGCCAACAAACAAACTAACAGATGAATAGCAATCTGCTTTGTTTTCCTGCCTTATCACTGCGAGTGGCCGATGACCAGCACTCAACTGCCATTTTGTATCGGCAACACTGAGGATGGCAGTGCCAATGTTTAGCAGAAACGTACGTGGTGCCTTTTCTGTACGTTTTCCGTCAGCTGCCGTGAATTGCCTTATGTTGTGTTTGAGGCTGTAGACCATGAGCTGGCCCGTTTCCACTCGTATTCTTCACAGTAGTACATATGATTTTCAGCACCTCACAAACTTAGACTGAACACCACAGTCTTGATGCTTTTTGTGTCAATCACACCTTGAAAGTCTGTACTAGTAGTACTTTGATGTTGATCACAATATGCAACTATGATATGTTTAACATGAAATCCATGTGGTGTAAGGAGATTGAAGGATCTCAATTTACAGAAGCTCAAGGCATTGCATCTGAAATATTGTGTGTCATTACACATTCTATTTAACATTTAGTATTACAATGGCACATAAATAAGACATATCACAACACAGTATGGAGCATTATTTTATGATATATGCACCTGCTTTTCTGTAGGTTCAAATTGTTCATATACTATATTCAGTAGATATTCAGTAAACATCAAGCTGTTGAATGGTACTGCTGTTAAAATCGAGCAACTAGCTCTAATATGATTGATTGGTTTTGTGCTCAAATTTTACAGCCTTCATCTTCTCTCAGTAAGTAGAACTCCTGTTGAAGCTGAACATATTTTCCGGGTCCCTTCAGGTTCTGTTCTATTAGAGTCTGCTGTAGTTTATTTAGACCATTCGATGGGACTTCATATGCTCATTTCATCTCAATTTAACACCTTTTTTTCTGACAGCTGTAGTATGCATTCGAAGTTTGATATCTCATTTGTGCGTGCAATATTGGGCTTTTTGTTCATAAACGTAATTGTACTAGAGGCTCTAATTGTACCACATCAGTGCTTCTTTCGACACCTTTTTGTTAAAGAATGTGTTGCTCACAGTGGACCCGGGCTGTATCTTTCTCTTTCTTCGGGAGACAAGTGCAATGCTTGTGACATGCCACTCCCGCCATTCTTCCTTTAGCTGTTAGCTCAAGATTTGGCAAGATGTCCTTAGACACACTTTTTCAGAAGTGCAGCCACTTTAGCAAGATTTCACATGAATGGTGTCAAATGCATTAGAGCCTTAAAGTATAAACCAGAAGGAACTATGGTGCTTTTGATGTTAAGCAACCGTGAAAATGACAAGTATTAGACCCCTTTGCCTAGGCTTCGCACGTGCAAGCTTCTAACACACCTGCGGCTTTGTTCGTTGTTGTGTTTTGGTTTTGTTTTGAATAAAGGAATGGACCGTCGTCAGTTTTGTGAGCTGATTTTAGTGGGTGAGCCTAAAAAGGTCGAGGTGGTGAAATGTAACTTCTGAACTTTTGTTAAACTTCATCTTGCGACAAAGCAAATACAGGCCACACGGTGCAAAATGGAGCTGAAAGTGCGAAGTTTATACAAACCCCTGTACTACCCACCATTCCCATGCTGGCTGAAGTTCCATGTGCTACAGGTGCCATAGACACAGAGTTCTCTCTAGTGTGTTTATAGGCGCCCTGCCGCGGTGGTCTGGTGGCTAAGGTACTCGGCTGCTGACCCGCAGGTTGCGGAATCGAATCCCCGCTGCGACGACTGCATTTCCGATGGAGGCGGAAATGTTGTAGGCTCGTGTGCTCAGATTTGGGTGCATGTTAAAAAACACCAGCTGGTCGAAATTTTCGGAGCCCTCCGCTACGGCATCTCTCATAATCCTATGGTGGTTTTGGGACGTTAAATCCCACATATCAAATCAGTGTGTTTATAGGAAACTCTATATTAGAGCCTATGGGTAACAATGTCTTCTGCCATGAAGCTAAGCATGCAGTGTAAGTACAGTGTCAGTGATACCACTTTCTATTAGCATTAACATGTCTTCTGTTAGCAATATCGAATTACGAATTAAGTAATAGGACACCCAAAAGTGAACAACAAAAAAATGCTGCTCAAGCATGACGAAGAAAAGAACTCTTTTGTAGCAATTCTTTTGAGACTTTCAATCGCTGCTATCAAGAGGCAGAAAGGTTGCCAGAAGACTATGAAAATATAAGGCACTGAGTTCAGTGTGATTAGTCTCCTTGTTATTAGTGTGTCTGCGGTGCTTCTACTCGAACCTGGATGCATCAAACTCAAAGGGGGTCATGCAGTAGTTTGATATATTGATTACTTGAAATCTAAAATGTTCCAATTCAAAATGTTATCCAAAATGTTAAATCGAGTTGAAACTCGATTTAACGAAGTGGTAGGAATCTTCGAAGTATTTTGTTAAGTCTGGAATTTCATAAAATCAAAAAAAGGATTCATTGGTCCTTCGAAATCTAAAGATGCAACGTGGGGGCACGCGAAAGCAACAGCGGCTTTTTTTTTTTTTTTTTTTCTTCTCGGCAATTTTTGCTCGCGCGTCTGAAAGTCTGTGAAGGCAGCCAAGGCATAAGGGACACCATATCTTAGTGATGCAGGCCAGATATATGGTCACATAGAGTTATGACCCCCTACTTAAATGCTCTAGTGAAGAGAATGAATGCAGTGACTGTGTCAGCTGCTTGAGAGAGAGATAGGAGGCAACAATCAGTGCTATACATTGCATAAACCATTAAATAACCAGAGAAGCCTACCGCCAGCTCTGATACAATCCAGTACATAAGAACGTTACTGGCCGCCAAGTCCATTGTTCTGTGCTCTGGTGAATTGTGCATCCTTGTCAAAGCAAAGCTAGGGCCGTTGCTGTGATACCTAAGATATATCAACATTAGAGTACATGCTCGAATAAAAACCAGTTCTCTGTCAAAATTGGATGGAAATCACCTCTTTTTCAATATGTTATTTCAGGGAAAAATTAATGTTAAACCGGGTTGGGTGACCAAAGTAGTTGGTTGATTCAGGAATGACGGCAATACTGTATGACTTTTTGTCAGGAAATAAAAATTTCTTCGTTATATCAGGAACTTAGTTTTCCACATCCTTACTTTTCCTCTTTCTGACATTGCTGTTTTCTTTCCTTTTGAAGGTTACAATGTGTCGCTGTTGTTTGATCTGGAAAACCTTCCCGAGGATACAGATGGTGTTGCACGCAAGGCCAGCCACCTCAAAAGGAACTGCTTTGCGTCTGTGTTTGAGAAGTACTTTGACTTCCAGGAGCGTGGCGAAATCGGTGACAAGAGGGCTGTTATTCACTACAGGGACGATGAAACTATGTAGGTACACTTTAGCTTTCTTCATTCAGTAAAGCCTGGGGATTACCATCGAGTGATATATAATAGATCCCTGATGAAATCACTTGATTAATTTCTGAAAGTACAATCTGAATGCCCTTGCTTGGTAAACTTGAAGCTCAAGAGTAAATCTTACATACCAACGCTACAGTTCATCTGTAATAGTTGTAAAGGGAGTGTCATTGCAAGGGTGCTGCTTTATTGCGAGTGGCTCTTTTAATATGCAATGCTGTCTGATCTTGTTTTGTTTGTGGACCCACCTTGTTAGCTTAGCGGCAGTGATATTCTTCTGCTGAGAATGAGGTGATGGGTCTAGTCTTGACAGTTTCCACCACATCCCAGAGATTTAATGCGAAAACACTCTTTTGCCTACTGTAATATAATATCTTAAGCAAGCATTCTATGGTGATATCAATAGCAACTGTGGGCTTGTCCTAAGCAAATGGACGGATTGTGAGACTTATTTTTAGTCCAGTCGAGACTCGACTAGTACGCAGTGGGAATCTCCTACGTTGGGGCTGGCAGCTTGACTGCCACATCGTTGGTTCCCTGGACGGGCCCAAAGCTTCTTCCTCTTGCTGGATAGTACTTTCATTTTGATTCTGGGTGTTTTGGAAGCACACCTAAAAAAGGCTACAATGTCACTAATGATGATCCGTCGGGGGCTGCACTTTTGTTTTCATTGGTTGCAACACTCTAGCTTTGTTTGAACATGATGCATGTTGGCTTCATTTATTGAGAACTGCAGAGCCTCAGTAATTTCTGGACTGCCCAAGTCAGTGCCTTCAGCTACTAAGCATGCCATGTGATGCATCTCAGGCAACTAGGGACGTTCAAAGTTGTCTAATCAAAGGGTCTCATTACTCTTTAGTTGCTGTCACGGTCCCATACGATTGCTTATGATCTACTTATAGCGTTTTGTCAAAAAAGTTGCAAAACTTTCTTGGTGCAGGGTAATGCTTAAACGCAGTGCTGTACTGACACATGCGAAATTAAAGTAAAGGGATAGAAGACATTTACGTTTCATGTATTTATTTAGCTACAAGATCACAAGACCACACGACCCTTACCATATTTTATTGAATAGTACATTGGAACCTCTATTGTACATCCCACAATCATGCAACAATATTATGGTGAATTGTTTTGGTCGCTGTGAAGTGTTCTAGAAGTAATGCTGTCAAAAGCTTTGGTTATATGAGGCAACATTACTCCAACATCGCCTTGTACAGTAAAATCTTGTTTATCCAGATCTCATTAGCTTGAAAATTTGGTTAACTTGGACTCGTGGGGTGGTCTCCGCAAAACTGTGTGTACTTCCATGGTATAAAAGGCTCATTAATTGGGAGGGATTGTGCACCACACCGGTCAACTCGGACAACTCCGGAGAGGGATATCGGGATTCCATGCTATGAATCGTGCAAACTCGGCGGCTTGGAGGCTCAAGCATTGCTTGCCGTAACCGACAGCAGAACCGGAGAAAATGAAACCAAGCGAAAAACTTCAGAAGAATATGATCATGATTATAGTAAATGAAGGGGAAGTGGCTAGGTGGTGCTAGTCACTACCTGGCAGAAGCAATTGGGCTGCCTGCACATCCAGTGTCTACTAAAAGAGGAACACATGGACGACAGGATGGTTTGCGCTGCCACTGCCACCACAGCTGCTAGCTAAGCCTACATTGCTGGTTTTTTTTCACCAACACTTTCCTGTGTCTTCACCACCTTCCTGCAGATTATAGCATCAGTGGAGAGGCCTGGATGACCTTATATATTTTCCAAGCTTGGCTGCAGCAACTCGACCGCTGTTTCTCCGCTAACAAGCACAATGTTTTACTTGTAGTTTGTAACTGCAGCGCTCATACCAATGTGATGGGGCTGGAGTGCATTGAACTTGTATTGTTATTTCCAAACACGACAGCTGCTCTGCAACTGCTCAATCAAGGGATAAATCAGCTCATAAAAAGCAGGTATAGAAAGCACGTACTAGAACGGATCCTGCTGTGCAATGAAGCAGTACGAGAAAATGAACTAAGTCTTCTGACAGCAATTCGCATGTCAGCGCATGTCTGAAGTGACACGCTGCCTGAGGTCATTGCAAATTCATTCTGGCATAGTCACTTTGTCCGCTGTGATGACTTATATGTTTCTCCGGAGGCGACTCCGGAGGACACTCACAAGCCCACTGGAAATATGGAGGATGAAGAGGAGAACGACATGCATTTTGAGTATCTTCTTTTTTGTGGCATCCAGCTTGCAGACTACGCCGCTATAGACAATGCCACCGTTACTGGTCCGCTGACTGACGATGATATATTATCAGAAGTGCTTGAAGCAGATCAGAATCGCTGTTCCGATGATGACAATCAAGATGAGCCAATGCGCGACTGCACAGTGCAGGAGGCCGAGGCGCCTAAGCCCTCGCTGGCCTCAAGGAGTTGTGTGTCGGCTCCCGTGACAGCTAGCAAGCACACCACCGCCTGATGATGTTGAAAAAGATCATTGTAGCACCAATTCTGACGAGAAGGCAGACAAAAATAACACAGTTTTTAATAAAAGAAAGATTTGTCTATTCAGAGTACATTTCCTTTTGTTTTCGTAGTCCATTCGATAATCCTAAACTCGGTGAACCCGGACATCCCGTGAGATTCATGTTAACGAGGTTTTACTGTAAATGCTGAGAGATGGTCATTCTGTGATAAAGGGAAAGTCCATTTTGCTGCATGAACTTTTCGACCAAGCCTCTACTCGCCTTTAACATTGGCTGACCGATTGTACCTCGTACCAACTGCTGGGCTTTCATGCTGATGACCTCACAAGACTCCTGAAGGCTCTTTGCATGCTTCTTTTTTACATGTAGCCTCGGTCCTTTCTTCACACCGTCATTGCCTCCCAGTTTGCTGGGCTGCGTAAGGCACGATGCGCCACTCATTGCGTGATAAGGTTAGTCCACTGCTTCCTCTAACTTGTAATCAGCCGCAATGAGCTTTTTATTCGTGTTAAACTCGCATTGAGCAGTGCTCTTGTTAGAGTTCTTGGCAAGTCCTACTTCAAGTCCTATTTGACACTTGAAGTCACCGGTGTTGCCCTGCCTGACGTGAAATTGCCACAGAGCTTGGCAACAACAAATGCGAACTGTCATGTAGAAATGTTCACAAAATGACAACACTGAGCGAAGCAACCAACAAGGACTTGTACATTCTGAGTATGCTCATCAATTATAAGCCCTGCCTGAAATCTGCAAAGTGGACAACTTAAAAGCCAATGTCAGTGCGACCTTTCTCCCTATTAATTTGTAATAAGTGTATTTATTTAAATGAAAACTTTTTGGCATGGCTACCTTTTTTGTTGGATTTTGAACCCTTCAGTTTGTTGCTAGGCCCCTCCCGACAGCGCAACATGGCCGCAGCAGTTCCCTGGTGGGCACCTAACGCTGCCCAAATATCGCTGAAAGGCTTATGCACAATATGAACTGCAAAAGTAAACATCCAAAGAGTTTTCTTGCTCAGTTATTTTTCTGCTGTGAACATGTAAGCCATATATTACACTGTAGAATGCAGCAGGAGACTTACAGTGCATATAAGAGTTAAATGAAATTGGCTCGCTATGTGCTCATCGAATTGTACAATATATAATAATTGTTAAGGTTTAACGTCTCAAAGCCGCAATAGGATTATGAGAAACCTCTCTCTCTCTCTCTCCGAGAAATGCCGTAGCGGATGGCTCTCGAAATTTCGACCACCTACGGTTCTTTAACTGAAATTGTATTATAGGCTAGTCCGGGTGTGACAAAGGCGGAAGGACATCGCTATTGGCTGATTTTAGCATTTGTGTGCTGCATACTTGCCACGACTGCCACAGGGTGCCACCACGTACCCGTGCCATGCTCTGTAGGGCTAGAATTTTACATTGAGGAATGGTGCTAGCATACTTGTGATCACATCGAAATTGAGGTGTTGCATTTAAGTGATGAGAGAGAAGGAAGTACTCAAGGTCATGACACATGCAGCCATAGCTTCGTGCCTGTTTGGTGTCTCTTCCTGTTTAGCCTTAAGTGCACTCATTTGGACAAAAAGAGGGAGAAAGCGCCCGAAGTGTGTTACAAGTTGCTGCAACTCAGCTTGTGCTTCCCAGGTTCAAAAATTTTTGGAGCAATTGATTAGTGAGGCACTAAGTTATAATAATGAGGCCATCTTATGATTACTTGGAAAATTATGACAGGGCCTTTTAATCTTTGCCTTTCAGCTTTTGTGGCGTTTCCCATCTGGGCTGCAAATGTACATATGTAATATACCGGTGTAGCCGGCACTGCTTGAAAAACAACAGGTGCAACAATGGAACTTTATTAGCTCAATAGGTTTGATCACAAATATAGGTCGGAATTTTCAGGTCATGTATACAGAGAAGGTCGATTGGTAATTGTGGACAGCTTTTCAGGGAAAAAGAACTTACCGGTATTTGAATAAATATGGTATCTTCCAGATGGCTTGTCAATATGGTTGATTGGGCGAGTTGTTGGTACATGATTGTTTGAAATAAGAGCGGGCTACGTAGACGCGGACAGGATAGACAGGGACAAGTGTTTGTCGCCGTCTATCCAGTTCGCGTCTACGTAGTGCGCTCTTATTTCAAACAATCTTACAGATGAACTTTTATTCGTCATTTTCGTTCGAATAAAACAAGCAGTGTATTATTTCACATGGAAACTTAGCTGATTACAAGCTCTTGCTATCATAATTCCTTAAATGGATTTCATTTTTGTGGGACTCAAATAATTTGCATTGAAAATAAATTTATATTGTTTATATTGATACATAACAGTGTCAATTCGATGGGTCACCAGAGATGTTTGTCCAAGTTTTGTTTTGATGTTTGTCCAAGTTTTTTGTCCAAGTCACCAGAGATGTTTGTCCAAGATGTTTGGCCATCGCGTACCGGTGTGTCTGCGTTAAATGAGACTTAAGTCGCGGTACCTGGGCGCAAGCAAACAAACTGCGCAACACATAAACGTGGTGGCGACGGGATAGTGAGATCAGGTATAGCAGGAAACTCTAACTGTACCAAACCAGACAAGCAGTCAATCAGGGCAGAGTGTGTCTTCAGAAAGTCGTGGCCGAGGATAAGGTCATGAGGGCACTCGTCCAGAACAGCAAAAAGAACTGAGGTCTTGTGGTCATCGAAGCCTATACGCGCAGAACACATTCCATGGATGGTAGGTGTACGGCCATTGGCTACGCGAGCAACAGGTGACGAGGCAGGTGTAACGACTTTACGGAGACGTCGAGAAAGGTGAGCGCTCATGACCGATCGCACCTGTATCGATGAGCGCTGAAACAGGCACACCCTCTACTTCTACGTCCAAAAGGCTTTGCCCGGTTGCCAGAGTTAGCAGAGGATTTCCGGGTCGATAGGTCAACGCAGCATCACCTCTGGTAGCTGCACTGGTCAGTTTTCCGAGAAGGGACGGCGTGGGAAAGGCGAAGGGAAGTGACGGGGCATAGCTGACCAAGAACATCGCTGGGTCTGGGGGGACGGCGAGCGGTCGTAACGTGGGGTCGATGTTCAGCCATTAGGGTTTGGTGGGTCCTCATGGCTGTGCAAAGGGGAAAATCTAGTGTCGTCTGGATGGTATGATAAAGTGAGGGACGATGGCTGACAATGGCGGGAAATGTGACTGACGTCATTGCAGTTGAAACATATCGGCCTGTCATCACGCCAGCGCCACTGGTTCGGATCACAATATCTGGAATATGTCTGTTGTGGCCGGTAGTATGAAGCAGGGCTAACTGCAAGACAACTTAGGGGATATACTGGCTGGATGCTTGCATTTTTCAGTTCTTCGCGCACGGCGGCCTAGATTAGTGACACTGTTGGACACACTTCCTCATGAGAACGAGCCTGGGGAGCGGATGAAGTTGCTGCCTCGATCTCTCGCCGCGCAAGTCGCAAGAAGTTTTTGATACTGGGTGACGGCTGAATCTGGACGTCTTCACACGACAACGTGGCAGCAGTGTTAGGGAGCCGAACGAGTTGCTGCGCCGGCTCTTTGCTTCTTCGAACCGTCCCGCACTCTCCTGATAATGTCGTCAATGGTGGAGCAGTCTTTATACACAAGTAAGTGGAAGGCGTCGTCAGCGACACCTTTGAGAATGTGGCCTGACTTTGTCAGGCTTCGGGCATTTGGCTATAAGCATGCCAGCACAAGGCTCAGACATTGTATGTACGCCATGTACTGCCCCATTGAGGTTTGCTGCCTGGCACGAGAGTTCTTTCTGGGCGGCTCGTTGGTTTGCAATAGGCTTTCCGAAAAGGTCTTTCGTTTTTTGCTTACATACGTCCCAGCTGGTCAGCTCCTCCTCCTGCGTGTCGAACCACACACTGGTCGTACCTCTGAAGTAGTAGCTGACATTTGCAAGAATGAAGTCTGGTTCTAGCGATTGGTCTTGCTGGCGTGCTCGTAGTCGGCCAGACACTTCTCCACGTACACGTTATCAGTCCTGCAAAAGGGGCCAGGGTCTCGAGGGTGGATCACAACAACGTGGCTCGGTGCATTCGGCATAGCAGGGGCTGGATCGGCGGGATTGTCTGTCGACATGATGGACTGTCCAAGCAAACGCCCGCTGCTGAAGTTCCGTCTTGCGTGAAGTGAGTACCCTGCACCAATGATGTTCCACCCACGTAACAATATAGTCATGCATAAGATTTGGCTTTGGCTTTGATAGCCAGTCATTTATACAGTCGCCTCTCTAATGCATTTTTGTTCACAGTATGAATTAACAGTTCACTCAAGACGCAGGCCTCTTCAGCTTGAATGGTTTCATTGACAAAACCAGTGAATAACTCAAAAGGAACCAAAAGCAACTATTCTGTCACCATATTGATACATTTGTGAGCAACTGCTTAGTGTTACAGCATCCACTTGAAGCATTTGTATAAGGAGAGTGGCTGATAATGCTGGGCAATGCACTTGTCACGTTCTTGTGCACTCATGCGGCTGAGCATTCAGAACCTAATGTTCATGGCCTTGTTCACTTTCAGGTATGTCGAGGCAAAGCCAGACAGGGTCACTGTAGTCTTCAGCACCATATTCAAGGATGAAGGCGATGTTGTACTTGGAAAAGTGTTCATGCAGGTGAGACCACTGTGCACACTATTTTTTTTTACAATAACTTTAGACAATTTTCAGCATGTGCATTTCTCGTCATGCATTTTGCACTGCATATTTCGCCCCTGGCCTTATGACCTGTGTTAGTTAAGATAACTTTTTTCTTTTTTCACGAAATTAATGGTCACAATGCAGGAAACTTTGCAAAACTTGTTTGGTGCCATAGCCTGGTTGGCTAATAATTAAGTCAATTGTTTGACAAACCTGCATAATTTAGCAAGCTGTTACTACAGTCACAAAAGGGAAACAAAACTAGATGAACATAGTAACAGCAGACAAATTGACCACTTCTGTATTTATACGACTTATACACTGAGCATGATATGTTTCATGGCCACGAAAAAATTTTGTGCTGCCGTCACGTAATTTGTGTGGTATTCCTAGTGAAACTGTCTCGAGATGTTGGAAGTAGTGCTTTCAAACAATGTCTCAATCTTCAAGTGATATCTGGGAAAAGAAGTGTTAGGGTTCGCTAACCTAATCGTCTGTATGTGTGCAGGCTTCTTCTGTTGCTGCCTGTTGAACGCACTTCTACATTGTTGCTTGCCTTCTTCACATTACCACTGTCCATCAATTCGTCCCTTGCCCTTGTAAAAGTGTGCTGCCTTTTCCACAATGTGCTGTATAAATCTATGTTAACTAGTGTAGAACCTTTGTATTAGTGATTTGGTGAGAGGCATTATCTATATTAACATGCTTTGCTTTTGAGGCAGGGTGCGGGAGATAGCAGTGTTATCCATTTATTTATGTTGGGATTCATTTTTCTCAGAGCACTATTGGTGATATTTATGCCTTTCGAGTGCTTGTCTGTGTGCTTCAGTGGCGAATCCATGATGTCTCTTCTTGTGCGCTAGGAATTCAAAGAAGGCCGCAAGGCAAGCCACACAGCACCGCAAGTGCTCTTCAGCCACCGTGAGCCTCCAAAGGAGTTAGAGAACACGGATGCTCGTGTCGGCAACAGCATTGGCTACATCACATTTGGTGGGTGGCTGGCTCCTTATGGCTTGGCCAGTGGATACAGGCAGGCCCTACCACATTACTTGTGCATTGGGCCTTATGACACTTGTACGAAATGACACTTCACTGTACAGATGTTGCTGGACTTTTGTAAGGATATCATACGCTTATGGGGCTCTTGTACACTCTGTACAGTGCTGAAACTTCTTTAAGTAGTCAACTGATTTTCCTTTCGCGAAGCCAGTAAAAAAAAAAAACAATATGCTTTTAAAAGAGAAGAGCGAGCTGATACAGTAGAATGACGAAAGGTTGAGCTAGCTGAGAGTGATTCATCGTAACAAATGCAATGCATGAAAACATGATAGTGATAGATGTGGATTACATGGCTCAGATTGAGTTTTCGTGCCTAGCTACTTTTGTGTGGCCGTGAGTTGGCGTTTGTATTGTCTAGTTCTCCTTGCTGTGTCCCATGTTTGCATGCCTTATTTGGCTTAACTATCACAGCAAACTGTTGGGACAGCAGTTCTGTGAAAGGATTTTTTTCCTCGGCTAATGGGAACTTGTTCATTCTGTCAGCACTATTGGCCTCGAGGACATACCGTGGTGCCACCCACGTGATGACGTCACTCATAGGATGCCGGGTTGACTTTGTCTGCTAGAATACACTGCATTTCCTGCGCTTTTGCTGGGGACACTGTGCGTGCTTCCCTTTGTTTTGTAAGCTCAGTGCTTAAAGAAGCGGTAAGACCTGATAATACGGGCAAGCAAACTAGGAATCGGTAGCCCCGGTGGCACTCTAGTGTCTTATCTGCATCGTAAAATCGCGACTAAGAACCAGTGCAGCCATGGGGACGATGCAAGTGGTGTCACGAGAGCAAAGCTGCTGTATTCCACAACTACATAACCTATCTGTGACGTCAAAACGATCGCAGCGCTGTCCTCTCTAGTGGAGGCCTTCGCGGCCAATACATTATCAGTTATGGCAGTTTTAGGCAACCTGCCCATGCATTATGACTTTAGAATAAATAGTTCACCACCATTTAAAATACATTGGCCTACATGTAAAAAAAAATACAATTGGTGAGCTCACCTTGTTGTGAAATAGGTTTTGAGTTACTATGAGTGTGAAAATAGTTTAAGCTTCGCAAGTCTAGCACAGACGTATTGATAACATCAGTTATAACGTCAGCAGGAACAGCCAAGCACTTGCAATTTGGGAGCCTATGTTTTATGTATGCTCGAGTTTTTTGCACAAACTGCTGGTGCCAGATTACGTGACTACAATTATGTGAAAAAAAATAAAGGTGACAAGTAAATCAACGTGACAACCCCGGTGGCCGAAATCTCTCGGATTCAGAATCTTTAAACTTGGCAGGTATTTGTGTCAGATTATCAACGGCTCTAACTATCCATCGATTACCAATGAGAGTCATGGCAAAGGGATCATACAGGTCAACGCCAATGACCTTAAATAGTTTCAGCACACACCGGAGTGGTTGCAGTTGTTTGCTTTGAGCTGATGTAGGGAGCTTTCGATGCTGACAGTAGGAGCATGAAGCAACGTACTTCTCAGCACTAGTGGACTAGCCCGGCCAGTAGTTACGACTTCTGACGCAACTACTAGTGCAGCTAAATGGGCACTTAGACTTGACCGTCAGTGTAAAGTCAAGTGGTTGGTGAATGGTGATGAGGTGAAAGGTTTTCTGATGGAAAAGAATGTAGATATAACGAATAAATCACAAAAATGTAACCTGTAACGTGCATTAGTAACATGCATGCACATGCCTGCATTAATAGGTTCTTTTCTGGGCGAATTCAACTGAATTTGGTGGAGTTCAAATATGGTTACTTTTAGTCCACCTGATAAAAGTCTGCTGTGTACAACTGATGAGGGGTGTGAAAAAGGAGCTTTTACTAATTTGCTCATGCTGTTACCTATGCTTATTTTGCATTTATATTAGTACGTTTGTCAGCACTTTCTTTTAAATGTTCACTGACCACTCCTGTGATTAAGAATTCGCCTTCCCCCACCCCCTTCATAAATAGTGTTCAAGAGGGCGAGTTTAATTTTAGGGGTGAAGCTCCTTAAGGTGTGCGATTGTCAGTCGTTGTCTGTCGTAACCACCCGTCAGTACTCGGATTGCTCACTAGATTATGCTGCGAGGTTTGCTCCCATTGCCAACTTATTCACGCGGCAGCAGCTCGAAAGCGGCGGGCACGAGTTCATTGACAAAGTGTTCAACCGAGACCTGCCCTTCATGCGAGGCGCACCCAACACGATGCAATACTGGCAAAAACACCGCTACGAACTTTTTGTCATGATTTGCCAGTTGGGCAAACCGAATGCATTCCTCACGCTTTCTGCGCAGCAGTACTCTGGGACAGGCTCCTCGAAACTCTGAAACGGCTGTGAGTAGAATTCACGGTTTACCGATGTACCTCCAGAGCTTCGCCACTCATTATCATTCACTCCTGTGGATATGCTGTGATGGTTTTTTGTTGTGAAACACTCATTTTGCACATTCGCTGAAGTGACTGTCAAGTGAACACAAGATGACAAGCAATGACAAAAACACTTAGTGGCCTGAAGTAAAACGGACAGCATACAAAGCAAAGGAAGGAGCATTCGAACATTCAAAATAATTCTTTTAGGAAGTTGAAATGGCTCCAGCCAAGTTTATAAGAAGCCCAATGTTTTTGGACTGCTTCAGGCCCTTCCTCAGGGGTTGATTGAGTTGGTCATGGAAGCATCTCCAGGTCTTGTTTCACCACAGCTACGGATTTCTCTTTCCCTTACGTTTTGAAGACCGTGAATGTATACGCATCGTTCCTAGCGAGCAGTTCACATTTGCAGGTGTGTTATGAATGTGTCGGGACCCAAGCAAGAGCTTTGCCAGATCCCCTTCTGTTTTTAGTAGAGAAATACTGTCAACATCCTGCTTCTCAAAGTGCTCTGCAAGAGTGCTGTGGTTCACTTCCGTCTTCCTGATGTCATTCATGTGTTGGCATATTCTTTCCGGGAAGCACTTCCTCTTGCCTATGTAGCTGGCTGGACATTCAGAACATGGCACCTGATAAACAAAGTCCTGGTGTTGCTCCTTAGAAGGTCGACCCTCCAGCCGCAGTAACAAGCAGTTGGATGTCAACGCAGGCTTGTGAATCATCTTGATCCCTGCATTTTCGAGTATTCTGAAGAGCTCTGCACTGATAATTCTTGGCTGTTGAACTACTGAAAGTTTGCATAAGCTGTTCGATCCCTTCTACGGTAATTTAGTGGCTTCAGCACTTTGAGCTAGCTCAAAGCGGATGTTAGCGGTCTCAGGTTGAACACTAAGTTAGCTCAAAGCTGATGGTTGCTGTTTCATGCCGTTTAATTTGCTGAAAGCAGTACTTCAGTAGTGCAAAATGGCCTCTGCAGCCATCTGCCCTCATTGCCCCCTATTCCAATGCCAGACCATAAAAAAACGTTATGACGCACCCAAAAAATGGATGCTGACTCAAACAAATCACCTTGTAGTAATTGCCGGAACATCCTATTGCTGTATGGGCCCATTTTGTTTCCCAGGTTTCTCCACATTTGCACTGGTTTATTGCATGGTGCAAAACCTTCAGCACGCCTTACAATTTTATCATTTCTATTCTGCCCTTTTTGTTCCAGTGCTCTTCCCTAGGCACACGAACCGTCAAGCAAGGGACAATACAATAAACTTGATTCACATCTTCCGTGACTACCTGCACTATCACATCAAGTGTTCCAAGGTAAGCCAAGGTCTCGGACTTGGGCACTTTGTACACTTCGCAAGTCTTGCTTACACCCAGCACTATTTCGAAAAGAAACATGTGAGCTTAGCAACTGTTCAGGATCCCTTTGAAAAAGGGTTTGCTATTCTTTTTTAAAGAACTGTCAATCGATTTCTCTCGACCCAGCTTTTTATGCGCAGCAGCATGATCATCCTTCGTATTAAGAGTACTCAAAGTTGGGCGAGTTGGCACTGATTTATGGCTAAAACTTGTGCAACAAAAAAACATAGACAAGAAGAGACAGACACCCATGGTGTCTGTCTCTTCTTGTTCACGTTTTTTGTTGTCCAAGTTTTAGCCATGCATCCTTTGTATTGTTTGTGGCTGCAGCAGTTCGTCCTAAAAGCGCATGGCTAGTTTATAACCAGTATTTCCTGTCTGAAAAGTCCCTAACTCCTTCGGGCGCAAATTATGATGCACTGTCTACAAATGCGTCAAATTGAGATGGCATGATTTCAAGGCACTCAGTATTAAATTCCAAGAAAGAACATAAATGAATATGGTGGTTTGCATGAGTTTCAGTAGTTATTGTTAATTAGCACATACTTAAATATTCAATTGTTCTCCAATTGGTTGACTTTGTCACTTGCACAAAAGTAATGAAATATTAGGTCCAAAATGCATGTGCAGTTTGCTTTTTGGTTTGTTTATTTATTTATACATACAGTACTGCAGTGCTAATTGCACTATGGCAGGAGTAGGTATACAAGGATACACAAAAATATAACTAAAAACAATGAGAATAACACAAGCACTTAACATAATAAGTCGTGCGAGCATTAAAGCAAGAATATTAAAAAAGGAACAAAGAAATACCATTTGCATACAGATCAGCGTATTTCGCACACATGTGTTATGAGTTTCGGCTACAAAACTCTTCGATGCGCATGAACGAACAGAACCAGGTAATGAATTCTAGTCTTCAATAGAAAATGGGAAAAACTGAACTTGTACATATTAGTTCGAGCGTATTAAGGCCTCAAATTTAGGTTGTGATAGCTTCTTGTCGTTGACTGTAGGGTGAAGTGTATGTATTTCTTGTTATTTGACAGTTTAACTGTGGAATAAACGATGCTTAGCAAGAATTTTAATGACTGTTCGGTGACACTAATCGCGGTCGTAACGATGACATATGAATCTTACCGCCTTTTTCTGGACTGCTCACAGTTATTGAATCTCGCACTGCTTATACGGGTTCCAGACATCGGACGTGTAGTCAAGTACAGGATGAATTAGCGATTTATATTAGAAGAGTTTTGTGTCTTTTGGTGATTTAGACAGAGTGTGACGTAGATAGCCTAGTTTTTTTCAATGCTTTGTTACATATATAGGTAGTCAATGTGCTTGGACCATGACATATTGTATGTAAAGATAACACCAATATACTTGTATTCGAAAACCCTACTTAAAGGACAGTTATCAAAAGAGTAATCAAAAGCAGAGGGTGATTTATTACAAAAAAACATAAGCGTAGTTTTTTTAAACTTATGTTCATCTGCTAGGTTTTGCACCGCATAACCCAGCAAACGACTCCTGCAAGCGGTACTGGTCGGTGTGTTTTGATCACTTCATACAAAGCGCAATCGTCAGCATACAAACGAACTGGAGAGGATGTGTGGGCAGGCAAGTAATTTGTGTAAAGTAAAAAAAGAAGTAAAGGCCCAAGAACGGACCCTTGTGGCACTCCAGATGTTACATTAATAACAGCAGGGTTAGTTGACCTGTAAGAAACAAACTGAGATCGAGATGACAAAAAGCTAGATATCCAGTTGACGAATTGAGGATTGTTTAGTATCACAGTTGTATTCATTTCGAGCGGAGGAAAAAAAGAAAAAGAATACTGTTGACATTGGTTTTGGAATTGAACGTTCATCGAACATGGTGGTGTTTTCAGCAGAGCGATTCTCTGCAGCAGTGTGCAGCAGAACAAAGTTCGATGACTGCGTGTTGTCTGCTCAGAAAGCCTGCACTAATGTGCACACTGCGTTTCGATTCAAAGTTTGTGTATTGCACGTGGCCGCTGAAGGGGCTAAACTGTGTGTAGACGTCCTCTAGCAACGCTGTGAAATGATAGCAATGTCGATAGCCCTCCTTGCATTACGCTCAAAATCTGCTTTCACAGGGGTTAGTGAAACTGTGGTTAACCGCCTGCATATTGACATTTCCAACTGCAGGTCGTATATGCAGCTGCTAGTGCACTTGTAATGCCTGCGCAAACGTGTTATTGCCCGCAATTATGTGAGAGCTTGTTGCGTTTGTGAACATGCCACCATCAGAGACAGTCCTTGGGAGCAATAGCTGCAGTTAGCGAGCTGCTTGTAAATTGGCATTCGTACTAGTGCCATCACCCCACAGCAGAAACTTGGGACCAGTGTGCCACGCGATAAATTCTTCTAGGGCATAAAAAGCTGGTAGATTAAGTTTTTTTCGAATTTTCATCATCACGCGATGTCTTTTTATCACCTCGTGAGCAAAGCGTGCGTGGCCTCTGACTACTTTCGGCAATAAGTCGCTGTCGCTGGAGAATCTCGGAGGCTGCGAGGTGCTCTTCGTACTTCTCCGACTCGTCGGCAGATGCTGTGAGGCCCTCAGCTAGCAACGTTCCTGCTGCCACTCAATCAGCAGACCATACATCAAGTGAAGGCCGTGCCACTATTCTGCACAGTGTAAACGAAGGCATATCTAACGAAGGCACAGTGTAAACGAAGGCACAGTGTCAAACGAAGGCACAGTCAAACGAAGGCAGTGTAAACGAAGGCATAATATTAAATTAGAAGACATTATAATGAAAAGTGTACTGCATTTCAGCACTAATATAGAAACAATTAATAGTATACATCAATAAAAGATCATGTGATCATCTACAACTTCACATTTGCTTTTTTTGCCACCAGAGGCACCAACATAATTTGATTGAATAAGTTTATAGATCCACATTTGTTTAGACAACACAATAGCCAATCCTTCTATCAGATGGGTTATCTCAATTCCTGATATTAGCGGTTGTCGGTCTCTTCAGAAGGAATATTTGTCTCAAATGTTATCGATAATCAACCCTCACTCGTCACATGTCTTCTCTAGCTTTCAATTAAAATTGTCTTAGCTGCAGATAGTGTGACACATAACGTCTGATTATTCAATGCTTTGAAGTGTTCGTGTAAGCTTAACGATCCGCAAAAAAAAATTGCTAAATTCCTACATCGTGCACCGGCGACTTGTGGTGGGCATGCTCATACATATTGTTGTGTTGCTGTTACTCTTGGCGTCTCAAGCATTCTTAGTAACCCTTACATAGACAAGCGAGCTCGTCCACACCTGTTTTACCACTTCCACCTAAGACAAGCGGCACTCATTCACACTGTAACAAGTGTCTGGCCATGCTGCAGTCAAGCTACCCTAATCCATTTTGTTGAGTTCTTTCCAGCTTCAGCAAATGGTGGAAAAAAAAATTCCCAACCTCAGATATTGCATAAAGTGTGACATGCCGTAGACGCAGCTAATTCATTTCTGGGGATTGTCTTAAGTTATATTTCAATGGTGTATAGTGCAAGCAGGTGGAGGCAGATGTAGGAATGAGATGGGACATGTTGCTGTCTGGCATAATGGGAAACATTAACCATATTTTCGTTAGATCTCAGTTCACATCAGGCTGTTTTTGAAAATGCCTTTGTTAACAATTTATTTCATACACTGTTTAAAAAGCATCGTGCTCATTCCAGCGTTGTGCTCAGTTGAAATAAATGACGTTTTAAGCCCCCCCTCCTCTACTTGGCTATTCGTTTTGGAAGTGTAGGATCAGTAGCTTCGCGTTGTCTTCATGCTGTCTCATTTGCTCTATCCGCTATTCCTACAGGCCTACATACACTCCCGGATGCGTGCCAAGACGTCTGACTTCCTCAAGGTGCTCAATCGTGCGAGACCAGATCCAAAATCTGTAGAGAAGAAGACAATCACGTGAGCATGGCACACCTTTTTTTTTTTTTTTTTCGGGAAAACACATTTTGTGCTGTGATACATACATATGGGAAACATGTCTACGAATTCCTCTACTTTCTTCTTGCTTCTGTAGAAAATTTTGCACATTTGCCTTTGTTGCTTGAGTTTTTTTTCTACTTTCTCAATTATACTACTTCATTTTTATGTGCGTATACTGCTCCAGATGCAAACAGGTTGACCTGTGGTGGCTGCTAACGTAGTTTCCCATGACAATAAATGTAAGAGTATAGTAATCTACCTAATACAGTCATATTGGCTACCTTTCAAATAGTAATTAAGCAGACAACAACTTTATTAATCATGTAAAAGATTGTTCACGAACTTGCTCATTCTGAGACAGTGTTTGTCAGAAGCCTAAATGGGGTGTTTTTGTAATGATAGGTAGTTTGTTCACGTACCCAGCATTCTTCGTGGAGTCGAAATGATCGTGGCTTTTAAGCAAAATCCGACTTCCCAGCATGATTTACAGCACGATAGTTATAGCGGGAGAACAAAACGACGACACAGAGACAAGAAGAACACGAAGGACACGAGCGCGAACTTCCAACTGAGTTTATTGCGCAGAGCACGAAAATATATAGGTGGAGACAGTAACCATGTTATAAAAACCATATGGCACAAAGAGCAGAACATGAGTAAGAGAAAAACAAAGACAAAAAAACACAAAAACAAAGCACAGAAAAACTGCAAAGAAAAATCTATAAGAAAACGAAACAGAAAAGTAAAGATAATATAACTACCTGCGCACACCGAAACCTTCGAGGAACCTGAGTTCCTTCTCGGACAGAGCCATGCAGGGCTTGCTAATACAAGGCACCTGTTCGCGTGCCATCTGCGCGGCCTCGACAATGACTCGGGTGCGCTCATCTCTGTGCTTGTACAGCGCGCTGTGTCCTTGAAGAGGGGAACACAACTGCACTCAGTGCAGTGCTGAGCAAGAAAACCATCTTTCCCCTTTTGTAACATTGTTAGCGTGTTCTCTCAGCCGATCGTTCAGACACCTTCCGGTCGTTCCGACATAACAAGCACCGCATGAAAGAAGGGTCCTATAGACAACTTCCCGGGAGCAGGCCGCATACCTGTTTCTATGTTGAACTCTGCATTCCGTTGATGACTGCGTTTTCAGGGGGTTTGTTAAAAGATTGTTTAAAGCCTCTTGTGTTGACACATGAAATGTCCGAGAATGAGAAGTTACGCTTTTTGGATTTAAAACTGGTTTTTAGCTCACAGCACATCCGTTGGTGTTATGAACCACGTGCGCACAAACCTCTACTTCCCTTTTCGTCCGCTCACAGCAAGTTAGTTAAGCGAGGCATAGCACGAACCTGTTTTGAGAATGCCTTAAATAGCTCGTGCGCCCACAATACCTTTGCGAGCTTCAAAGCTCAAGTTTCCCGGCTTAAGGCTTCGGGTTTCCCCGAGGCGTTTATCGCTTCCGTTGCTGAGATGATCCTGAGGACCAATAAGGCAGAGCAGAGGCAGCGACACAATCCGAGCAACACGGATACAGAACGTGAAAGGATAGCCGTGATTCCATACAAACACCAGATATCACACAGGCTCAAGAAAATCTGAAAACGTGTTGGAGTTCGTGTCCTGTTCTCGGCACCGTTCAAATTAATCAGCCTCAACAAATCTACAAACCCCTTGAAAACGCAGTCATCAACGGAATGCAGAGTTCAACATAGAAACAGGTATGCGGCCTGCTCCCGGGAAGTTGTCTATAGGACCCCCTTTCATGCGGTGCTTGTTATGTCGGAACGACTGGAAGGTGTCTGAACGATCGGCTGAGAAAACACGCTAACAATGTTAAAAACGGGAAAGATGGTTTTCTTGCTCAGCACTGCACTGAGTGCAATTGTGTTCCCATCTTCAAGGACACAGCGACGCTGTACAAGCACAGAGATGAGCGCACCCGAGTCATTGTCGAGGCCGCGCAGATGGCACGCTAACAGGTGCCTTGTATTAGCAAGCCCTCCATGGCTCTGTCCGAGAAGGAACTCAGGTTCCTCGAAGGTTTCGGTGCGCGCAGGTAGTTATATTATCTTTACCTTTCTGTTTCGTTTTCTTATAGATTTTTTTTTGCCGTTTATCTGTGCTTTTGTTTTTGTGTTTTTTGTCTTTGTTTTTCTCTTACTCATGTTCTGCTCTTTGTGCCATATGCTTTTTATCACATGGTTACTGTCTCCGTCTATATATTTTCGTGCTCTGCGCAATAAACTCAGTTGGAAGTTAGCGCTCGTGTCTTTCGTGTCCTTCTTGTCTCTGTGTCGTCGTTTTGTTCTCGCGCTATAACTATCATCATGTCATACCAACTAGCCCAAGCTGCCACACTTCTATGATTTACAGCTCTACTACATAATTTGCCAAATTTTTCTGTTGCAACTATGGCTACCAAGATGAAATTTATTGCTTTATCGTCCCAGTTTTCATTGGATTGGACGCACGAAAAAGATTATTTGGAAAATATTTGTATAATTGGAGGCTGAGTTAAATAGAGTGTCATTTAATTAATTGCTCAGTTTTATTTTATTTTTTCAATTCACACATTGATGCTGCTAATTATGCCATTTGCATCCAATATAGCTTATATTTTGTTCATCTCTTGCGAGTATTGCTTAATGATTTGTGGTGAATAATGTTACACTCTAGTTCAACTCATCATTGACAATTTTTTGGCTGACATCTGCATGTGTAGCAGTCAGTGTTAGGGCTTTGTTTCTACGTGTATCTTGATTGTAAAGCTGAACACTACTTTAGATTCTCGCTCACTAATAAACTATTATGACCAAATCAGTAAAAAGGCAGCACAGTCGTCAAGTAAGCCTGATATGCTGGTTAGTTAGTATGCCATAATGACGTGTACGAATTGATATGTTTTAAAGGGGCCACCCATAGTTAGCCATCACATTTTGCACTCAGTGGTGGAAAAACTGTGCAAACCTGTTATTTGTACAAGCAACTAGAGCAGCTTTTGATGTGTTATCAGTCAGAATGATTGGCTGTTGAGTCAGAAAAAAACGCCAGGCCTGCGCGGAAGGTGCAGCACAGTCACAGCGAAAGCTAGAAGAGTGGCCTTTCAGAGCCTTTTTAAACACTCATTGGGTAATTGCTGCAAGCACACTTGCTTGATACCCACCACGGCATTAATAATGAAAGCTTTAGGGTAGTAGGCCGCCATTCGCTGTACTATTTTTCGTCATTTTCTGAGAAGCGTGGTATACACTAAACTATTGCGAGGAATTTTGTGCCAATTGTTCATGCAGTGGCTGACAACGATGAGGTATCATGTCTGAAGTGGGTATGCGCCACAATTAATAGCTTAACAAGAACGAGTTTTTGTAATAGTTTAGAGCATTGGATGACCCACTCATTACGCTATTCGCATTGTGCGACAACTAGTTCTTCTTTTGCTGTTTTAAAACGACTTATAATTTGTATTAACGCCATTGCTTTCCCGACATCAAGCCTGTCTAAAGGAAATTAGCCAACAAGTCCCAAGCACCAGCGTGACTCAGTGGTAGGATACTGGGCTGGCACTTAGCAGACCCGGGTTCGAGCCTGACTGTGTCGTTGGTACTAGTTTTTTTTTTTTTTTTTTTCTAATTTCGTGCGATGTGGTTACAGACACCGGCGGTGGCAGCAGTGGCTACGAACAACTGTGCATTATTCGAGTTGTGATCTCATAACAGCTTTTGCTGTAATATGTGCACTGCTTCCTCGGTTGTACAAATCTTATCGGGGGCATTGTGCTGTTTCGCACAGCACCAGCTGATAACCATGGCTGCTCCTATCTCTGCAGGGTTGTTGGCACACATAACAGCATGTCTCACAAATATTTCACCAGTAGTTATTGCAGAAGTGTGAACATTAACGTTACTTGATAACATTGTAAATTATGTCTCTGTCACACTTGGAAGAGCAATGGCATTCAGCACTGTAGAACACTAGTTGGGCATTCTTTCGGATTATCATATATCATGTTTGCTGTCACGCTATCAGTGAACTCGACAGTGCAGCTTTATTAGACAACACATCTCTGACATTACGACTACATCTCTGCTTGCAAGTGCAGTGTTGTATTGACTAGAATAACTGGTGTCTTTTATTGCAGGGGACGGACGTTCACACGCAACTAGCAATGACAAGCTGTTATCCACGCAAAAGGCCTCCAAAAGAAGGAGGCCCCATTTGTTTAACCTTGGCACACAAGACGCAATTGACCCAATGGGTTTTTAATTTATGCGCCAGAGACGCTTACCAGCCTTGTTGTGTTTGACAGATGCAGATTTATAGTTACATCTTCCCCCTTTTTTTGTATTATTTTCTCGAGATTTTTTTTTGTTTGTTTTCCCTTCCCAGTTACACATTCATTTGTCACACTTGTGGGAATAAATTTTGTGATGTTGTAAAAAAAAAAAGAAATAGGGAGCACGGTTACACACAAGTGATTGACACTAAACATATGCATTATGGTATTACTTAGCTGCTTTCCAAATAAGGCTAGGTGCGCCTCCGTTCTTGATTTTTTTTATATTGAGCACTGATTTCTAGGCTTATAGAAATCTTTTTTTGAATCATTGATTGCAGCTGTTTGCGGGGACAAACACTGTGTGCTGTAAATATTGAGGTGATGATGATGATTAAACTAAGTTCTTTATAATTTTGTCTTCGCTATTACTGCTCCGATTTGCGTTGAATTTAAAAATGTGAGTGCAGAACAATCTGCATTGTTTCTTGTTTTTGCACATGTTCAGGGGCATTTTCTTTTTTATTTGTAGTTAATGTGTGGCTGAAATATCGAGCCAGTTTCACGTGACAGCTACATTGCTCCAAAAGCAGTGCGTCTGCTAGTGGCGCAGCCAGAGAGTGGCACACCGGGCTTGTGCCCCCTCCCCCTCCCTCTAAAAAAAATATTTTTTTCGCTGTGGCATACAGAGCTCTAAATGACACTCGACCACATCATCTGCCTGTCCTTCCCCCAATTCAGATAAAAGGGCTGTATCCACTCCACCTCCCAAAAAAGAACACCAGGCCTGTGCAGAAGGCACAGCACAGTCGCAGCGAAAACTAAAAGAGCGACCTTTCAGAGCCTTTTCTAAATTCTCATTGGGTAATTGCTTGATACCCACTGCGGCATTTTAGGGCATTTTAAAAATTTTAGGGTAGTAGGTCTGCATTCACTATGTTATTTTTTGTCATTTTTTTAGAAGTGTGGTATTCGCTAAACTATTGCGAGGAATTTTGTGCCAATTGTTCATACAGTGGCTGATGACGGTGAGGAATTATGCTTAAAGTGGGTATGCGCCACAGTTGATAGCTGAACAAAAACAAGTTTTTGTTATGGGTTGGAGCATTGGACAACCCACTCATTAGGCTATTCGCATTGTGCAACGACTGGTTGTTCTTTCGCTGTTTTAAAATGCTTTATAAGTCGTATTCGCTTTCGGAACATCAAGCCTGCCTAAGGGAAGTTTGCCAACAAGTCCCAAGCACCGGCGTGGCTCAGTGGTAGTATACTGGGCCGGCACCCAGTGGACCCAGGTTCAAGCCCCACTGTGTTATTGGTACCAGGCTTTTTCTTTCTCATTTCGTGCAATTGGTTAGGAACACAACACCCGAGTTGTGATCTCATAACAGCTTTCGCTGTAAAAAAAATCCTGTCTACGCCCCTGTTGGCTGCTGTGGCCCTAGGCACAAAATCTTCCTTTTGGGTGGCATTCTACCACTGAGACACTGATATTTCAGGGGTAAGAAATATTCGCTTGGTCCAGAGTCCTTACATGCAACCACACAACAGTGAAGTCACAATTGTGTATATGTGAACTGTAGTAAGGTTTTTGACCAGGCTAGTTGGTGAACACCCATTATAGCTTACAGTGTACTCTGACACATGGACTTCTGTGTATTAGAGTGCAATGAAAGTTATAATGCTTGTAATGTGAAACAGGCATAACGCCACAATTGTCCCGAAAAGCAGCTGATATATGGAGGTCAAGTTTGTTTAAACCCTAACTTCTGTGTGTGCAATGCGGGTCAGGAGACATGAAAAAAAAAATACGGAAAATACGGACCTTATTTGTAAGAATTTCATTTACCATTTGTTGACACCAGGCTCCAAAACGTTTTTTGGACCATTGGTCCCGGAGATGTAGCTGCATTGCACTTCGTTCCTGAGCAGATCTATAGTTGCCAGGTTTGGGCATCAATGGTGTGGTGGTTACCACAACAAGACTGTATGATGTAAACAAAACTCTGAAAAAAGAAGTTTGTGGGCGATTATTAAAGCTCGAACCAGAAAGTTTGGAAAAATTGTAAGTGTGTGGAAGAGAAACAAGACTGACACTCTTTGCTCATGCCACTGATGCAGTAATTAATGGCTAATTCGGGTTGTTGTTTAGGGGTGCTCTGGCAGTATTTGAAAGTGGTGGAGTCAACAGGCTTGACTATCTATGTCGAGAAATTGCAGGTAAGCAACTGAGTGAGGTTTATCTTTCCCGATTACGTACTGGTCTGCTTATTTTGGTAGCGTAGCCTTCTTGCTCTTCTAAGTCAATATGTTACGGCCTATTAAGCGCACTGAAACAATCTCCTGAACGTACTATTATAGGCAGGTAACCGCTGTAGAGCCCATCTTTCTGTTGTCTATGTCTGCCTTTTTTTTTTTTTTGCGCTGCATGTTCCAGGTATATTGGAACATCAGATTTTCTTTTTTGTTGTTGAGTTCAAATATGCACATGATGAGGCCACTCGAGAAACATATGAATTCCGACTTACCGCATCATTTGTGCATACCTGGTGACGAAATGTGGTGACTATCAAATGCAAGTAGAGGTAAGTCAGCCGGTAATTCTTGCTAGTGCTGAAATACGTGCATATGTAGCAGCCCCAGGTCAGCTCTGTAGAAACTTTGATCCGTGGCGCGTTCACACTTGCCATCAAGTGAGTGAAAGCGGCAAAACTCGCCAGAATTCTGCGGCCGGAAAACTACGCAGCAAGCCTGATCCGAAAAAAAAAAAATCGATGCGGGACCAGCCTTTTCTGCCACGCGAAAGCGCCGCACCTTCCCGCTGCACAGAAAGCTATGCTTTGGCTGTGCTAGCATACAAATCACGTGATGCAAACATCCCGCCACAAGCACAGATTTACTATGTTACTCTATGCCACAAGTTCGAAACCGCGGTCTCGCTAATCCATAGAGTTTCTATGCACAAACTTGTGCCTTTCTCAGCTATATTCACAGCCTCTACAAGGACGTGTACCGCGAAAATGCTCATTTGGGTGAAGATAGCCGAAAAGACGGTAATTAGTGAAAGGTGTAGCAGCAGTGCGTCGGCTTGCCCCACGCATATTTCGTCCTTGCACAGCCGGGCGAATTTGCCGCCACCGCTATCGGTGTGTTTACCTATGTGGCTTCTGTGGGGTGCCTCCTGAAACAACAGCCTGAAAAGGTAAAAACTCTTTCTTTTCCGTGTCCTGCATGTGTAACTTCAGTTTGGTACGAAATAAAATGCTAAGTAGGCGGGCAAAGTGACGGGCGTACACCAATCAATTTTTACGGCCCGTTTTCTTCAGTGCATACATTTAAAAGCAGAGTGTCATAAAGGAACACTAAAAAGCAAAACGATTTTTCGCGTATTAGTAAAATACAATTTTACAATCCCGAAAACACCACTTTTACCGCGACAATACGCTTGGTAAGCGAGGAAATGAGCGAAACGCGGAGGTTGTTTTCTTTCTCTATGGTGCGAATAGAAAGTGCGGGGGCCACAGTGACATTCCCGATTCCTTCACCTCATTCCTCCATGACCTGCCTTCACTGAACATCATAACGTAATAAATTTTGGAGGCGTCTACTGAAGCCAACAAAGCTTCTACTCGACGAAAATGAATTATGTTGTCTTCTGTGGGTGCCCTAGACCTAGCATACAAAGTTTTGGAAAATTTTCATCTAGCCAATGTCGCGAAAATACGAAGAATACGTTGTAAAATTTGCCACATCATGCGCAAAGATGTTGGCGCGAAATTCAAAAATAAAACTTCAACATTTTTTTCCGGTAATAATAAACTTATGGCACTAAAACTCAACCTGTCCAGTTGCCAAACTCTCCGCCTCCACCATCCATTGAAAGCGGCATTGGCGGCGCAAAGCTTACTTTGGGTCCAGGTGGCGCGACTGCAGCAACAGGCCCCTCGTAGCAGACGACGAAGCGTGAGTGGCGTGAGCGAACGTGGCGTGTGCAGCTGCTATCCGCGCAGTAATTGAATTGCTTAAAAACGCCACGACGAGAACGACTAGTTCTTCTCGTTAGGTAATCGTGAAATTTTAATACATTAGCAGGAATGTCTGAAAGCGCGTTATGTGGTGTTCTGTTAGGTAACTCGTAATCGGCGCATGGTGCGACTCTAACCAAGTTCAGCGTGACAGGCGTTATAGCGTTATTTATTGTCTAAGCGACCAGCTGTGACGACAAGTTTTTTTCAGCCAACGAAGGAGACTCCAAAGGTTCTGTGAAAATACGTAACGGCAGAATTTTGTTGGAGACGCGCGAATCATGCAGGAGTATCTGCTCACATCGTTCGCATTACCCATTATAGTTTGTGTTATAGTTTGAAAAAAAAAACGACTAGAAAACGTCGCTTAACAATGTCAGACATATCGACTAAGTGGCACGGCACATTCGCAGAAGTCAACCCTTGCAAGCGCATGACCGAGTTATGCATGTGTCGCGACACACTTCGGTAGCGATCAAGCCCAGTCGTGATTTTTTCGCTGGCTCATCTGCGCAAGTTGCGGGAAGAAGCCCATCAGGCTCAAAAGCTTCATCTTTAAACAAAGTATGCTGCTTATAATTTAAGTTAATACTTCACAGCCTGCGGGTACACATTCAGTGGCCCAACACTCGTGGGCAGTTCTGTTAGGTGTGAAAGCGCGGTAATAGTGTGATATCTGAATGTATATGCTACATGTCCATTCGGTTGCATGTTCAATCCCTGCTCCGGCGGTCGCATTTCGATAGAGGCGAAATGCGAAAGGCCCATATACTATGCAGTGTCAGTGAACCTTAAAGAACACCAGATGGTCGAAATTTCAGTCACTTGCCAGGCACAAGAAGCAGCCGACTCGAGTCTCAGAAGATCAACTAGGCCACGTAGAGCACCGACGCGCTTTGCCGACTACATCACCTAAAGAAAAAGGAGGATGTACCAGGCGGGCCACCGCTTAATAAATCGGGATGATCCCACCTCACCTGGCCACCTTGAGAGAGGGCGCGCGCGCGGCGCGTCAGCCATCAATAAACAGTCCCTTGCTAGCTAGCGTCTCGTGTGGTTGTGTCTTTGCTGATACAATCTCCCAGGAATTTAACTTCGGCCTTCGCGAACAGACACTTTTCTTTGTTCAGTGTCAGGCCAGCCTTTCTCGCTGCCATCAGTGCTGCACGCAGGCGTTGATCATGCTGCTCTTTTGATGCACCCCAAATTAAAATATCATCGACATATACGCGTGTGCCCGGCAGGTTTTCAAACACTTCCGTCATTGCCTTCTGAAATACTTCGGGGGCGGACGCGATACCAAATGGCAGGCGCAAAAATCGGTATCTTCCGAACGGCGTGCTAAAGGTGCAGATCTTTGAAGTGTCTTCGTCTAAGGGGATCTGGTGA